ATATATATGTATATATACATACATATACATATATATATACATACATATACATATATATATACATACATATATATACATATGTATATATTTTATATTTTAAAATATAAAATTATTAATAGTTAAAACCATCATCGGAGTTCTGATTTCAATGTGATTCGCTAATAAAAAAAAAAAGTACCTGGTGACTAAAATGAAGCGCTAGTGTTCCAAATGACGTTCCTGTGTCTGCCTTACCGTTAACCTGACTATTTTAAAAATTACAAATAGCGAGATTGTAAACTCTTTCCTTACCTCTGCTGTTGCCGTCCTCTCTGCTGCCCTTGTGGATGATCAAACCTCCCTGGAAGAGCTGCAGGAAGCAGGGCGCCTCTTTCCCCTGACTCACCAACACCTGTGCTCGCACCCAGACGTGTGCTGCGTGTTAATGCAGGCCAAATACATGTGTAATCATCGAGGGGCTCGAATACGAGTTGAATCTGACCTGTGACCCCCTGTGACTGCCCAGCTCCACTGTCATCAGGGCCGACGTTCCTTTCTCACTGATGCTCGAGTGACGGCCCTGCCAGAAAAAACAGGCGATCCTCTCTCTCCCGGAGGTGGCAGCACTCAGTTCCCCGGGTTTTTCACGCTTCCCCACTGACAGAGGACACGGCAACATGAGAGAGGACATTTGTAACAACTAAAAGATCAGGGAAAAATGTGGAACAATTGTCTACATCAAGCAAGGGTCCCTAACCCACGGTCGAAAAATGTGGAACAATTGTCTACATCAGGGGTCCCTAACCCACGGTTTGGGGATCAGTGCCTGTCTGTACGTCATTTGGTACCGGGAAAAAAATGTACTACTTCAGTCAAAAAGAATCCGGTCATGTCCCTTTACTAGACACCACAGTGGTGCACCTCATAACCTTCAAACAGTCTTATGGTTATTTTCCAGTCTAGGGCAGTGTCACCACCATGACTCACCGAGTGTGGTGACAGAATACTTCCAGCGGATGATGTAGGCGTCGCCCTCGTGCAGCTGACCCAGGCTCTCCGTCGGCAGCTCCTCCTCACTGTGCTCCTTGATGTGCCACGAGTCCACAGCCACTGTGGCCAGCTCCGCCTGCCTGTTGTCCTCCGTCCTCACCAGACCGTGGCCCCTTTGGACGTTGACCCCCTCCAGCACCGTCTTCACCGGCTCAGGTTCGTTATCCAGCAGGGCTTTGGCGTCGCATGGGTGCAGCTCCAAATCAAGAGGAGCGCGGACAGCGGAATGCACTGGACTCTAAACAGGAAATGGAAGTCTTAACTTTGGCAATGTGCTCAATATACTTGCAGAACTATATTGAAGCAGTGTTGCATCTGGTTCTTGATATCAACAGCAGGACATTCTCTGTAGGACAGAGAATACTCCACCTAGTTGATCATTCAGACAAGTTGCATTAACGACACGTCAACAGGTCCTCAGTCTTTCATCGACTATCGGATCAGCAGTGCGAGGTTATTTCTATGCTGCACTTCTCAGGTGTGAAATCCCTCACAGCTTTCCTGTGTTTCTCCGAGCGGCAATAACCAATCCTATTTCAACACCTTGATTTCCTCTGATTGAGTGGTTTCCTCTTTCTTCATCTCGGCCCAGTCGAGGAACTTCTCCTTGAACAGCGCCGTCTCATTGTGCTCCGACAGGCGGCCGAAGAGGGCCCAGCTGGGACGGCCGTCTCCTTGCCTGAATCCCAGACAAAAGCAACGGATGAACAAATCAGACGTGTGTCGAGGCATTTGAATGTAGAATATAAGAGAATTAGACAACAATAGAACAGTAGTATAAAAAAAAAAATCAATAGCATATATACTTTTTCATTGCGCGGTTCAGATTATTAATGCTACATATGGATCATTAGCACCACAAGTCAACAAATATTTTATTTACGTAGTTAGAGTTATATAGCTAAGCTGATATATATATATATATATATATATATATATATCCTAAAATTAAAAAACATATATATATATATACAAATATATAAATATATACAGTGTATATATATATATATACATATAGACATACATACATATAAACACACATATATATACATACATACTGTATTTTCCAGACTATAACGCGCTCTGGAGTATAAACCTGCCAAAAATGCATAAAGAAGAAAAAAAAAAAAGCTAGCAGCTGTCAGTGTGAAAATAAACACTTAAATTCTCAGTAGTAAGGGAGTACCAGCTACTGGTACACAAGCCTAGAGTGCCCTCTAGCGGCTGTCAGTGTGATAATAACAAACATGTATCGATAGTCCGGAACATACTGTACATATATATATATATATATACACACACACACACATATATATACATATATATACACATATATATAGACATATACATATATATACATATATACACACTTACATTTACAAACACACACACACATATACAGTATATACACACTACACATACATATATTCATAGCAAAGTGTGTGTACTGACACAAATGAGCCAGTAGGGGCAACACTAAGACAACAAATAACTTTGCCTTGTGTCGTAGCACAGTGCAGTACTCACAGGGGCACGTCCTTATTTGTGCATGAAGCATCAAGTGGGTTGACTCTGCAGTTGCTATAGTCATAGCTGCCAGCATAGAGCTGCTTGCCAAGTTTTACTGCAACCTTTCTGTCTCCCAGGGGCACGTCCTTCCCATGCCACACGTACACTTCACTGCCAAAGTCAAACACCAGGACCTGGCGTGGCAAGAAGCATAGAGTGAAAATACGAATTTCAGAGTGCAGATATTTCACAGCTTTCGTGGTTTCTCGTAGTCTCCTGGACGTTTTACCTCTTTCGAGTCAAGCAAGGTGACACTTGGAATAGAAGCCCAGGCGTCTTCATGAGGCACCAGTTTGTCTCCCTGCAGTCTGTATATACCATTAGAATCCAGCACTCCACTCTCATACAGTTCATCTTCCTCTGGTTCCCCTGCCCCTGTAACACACACATTATTAAATCAACAAACACAAGCAGTGCACGTTTTATAACACTGCAACATACAGTGGAGCTGTTCATATATATATATATATATACACACATATATATATATATACACACATATATATATATATACACATAAATATATATACATATATAAATATAAAATATATAAATATAAATATATTACTAACAAGAGGTTTATGTGTGATACCGTTTGATTTTGATTCTGTCTTCTGAATTACAGAAAAAAAACACCTTTACATTTACAGTCGAGGGTATTTTACTGTCTGAGCCTGATTCAAAGCAGCTGGTCGTATTTCTTGGAGAAACGTTCATTTTATGATCTGCCCCAGAAGTCCTTCAGTTACCACGGTGTGGTAAAATCTTTATTGTCCCAAATGGGTTATCCACAAAAGGTGTGGTATATAAGGAAAAAAAAAAAAGTATTTTTCCAAATATGAGTCAAAGTAGGGATACAATGAAGTTATTATAGTGCGAAGAAAAAATACTGACATGGCTTATGCAAATTAGGCAAAGATTTGGATACTAAAATTATGCAATGTGACTACTTCAGTGTTATTTTTACTTCTTTATAGATGTATACATGTATATACACACACATACACACACATAAAATATATATACATAAAGTATATATATACATATATACATACATAGACATACATACATATACACACACACATATATGTATATATATACACATATGTGTATCTATATACGTATATATACACATATATGTGTATCTATCTATATATACACATAAACAGTATGTATATATATACAAACGTGTATATATATACACACAAATATATGTATATACATATACACACATATATGTATATATATACATATATATATACACACACACACACATATATATATGTATGCATATATGTGTGTGTGTGTGTGTGTACATATATTTTCAATATTAACTGTATGTGTATGTGCACCTCTGTATTTAGTCTTTCCTCCCAGCAGTGTCCAGAACTCCTTGGCCCATCTGCTGTCGGTGTTGATGCCCTCCTCCAGCAATGTCACCTGGGGGGCCTTACAGCCGAGGTCCCTCTTGGCCTGGACGAAGGAGGCCATCTCTGATGCCTGGTCACAGAAAGCATCGACACCAAGTTACTCTTACTGTCCAAGGGGGAGGACACTCCAAAGTTTCAACCACAACATAAAGCTGAAGGAGACCTTGTTAACAACACAACCTTAGCTTTCTCAATGACGTTAGCGAACTCTCCCGTCCAAAAGAAGCAGTGCTTCGGGGTTATGAGAAGGAAGCAGTCGCCACTGTTCAGAGACGTGACTGTGGGCTCCACCAGGCGCACTTGGACGTGCCTCCGGCCTTAACAACAGAAAGGGCTGCTTGTGTTTATTTGAAATCAGGTAAAAATAAATATGCTGCTTGTGTTTATTTGAAATCAGGTACATTTTAAATACGTTTTTATGTGATTTTGATTTTTCACAGAACCAACATCGACTAAAGCTTAGACCAGGGGTGTCAAACTCATTTTCATCGGGGGTCACATCAGCAATGCCAGTTGCACTTAAAGGGCCAGTTGTAAATGGAACACTGTATAGATCAACGGTCCCCAACCCCTGGTCCGTGGACCAGTAATGGTCCAGAGGTCATTTGGTACTGGGACACAGTGGAAAAAATGTACTTAATTTTTACTAACTTACTTTATTCAAAGAAAATCCAGTCATATCTGTTTACTTTCTTACTCTTCTCCATAACTTACTTAATGCGTTTTAAACTTCCGCGGGCCACACAAAATGGCTTGGCGGGCTGAATTTGGCCCCCGGGCCTTGAGTTTGACACATGTGGCTTAGACGATTTAAAGCTGTTCGTAAAGGTGAACAGACACCACTACACTACATTAACTAGTATGATTAGTTTACCACAGACATATTTCCAAAAATCGGTCTGTATTCTTGTGATACTGACCTTTGATGCGAATGAGCATGAGCTTGTTGAAAGGCAGCGTGCTATTGTTGGTCACTACGTCCGTAGATTTGACGCTGCGCAGGCTGACCTTGCGGAAGTTCTCCTTGCTGGCGAGGCCAGCCAATGCCACGTCGGCCAAGTTGGAGTGTTTTGCCACTGGACGGTAGACATAGCAAGAAACAACGTGTTGTTAAAGTTGGAAATTTGAGCCGTTGCTGTGACACATTTTGATCCGACGCGAGACCTCGGACCTCAGGTGCACAACATCGCAGTGATTAGATGTCATGGATTCTAGGCTACCAGAGATCTGTAAACTACACATTTGATAGTAAATTCTGTTCAAATACAACATACAGTTATGTTCATCATACACCGCAGTAGAACTATTACATTACAGTAAAACCTTAAAACACATTCTACTGTAATGTAGAACAGTTTTAACACCAAATATACTGTACTAGGAAAATGTTTCGCTAGGACTCTAGCGTTCCTACTATCTTTTTCGCTGATGATTTTCTACATTCTTACTCCTCTCAACTTGGATCCTTTTGGCTTCCACTTTGGCCACGTTAAGCCTTTGTTCAGTGTAGCCCTGCCGCAGGTCATTGCGAGCGGCCAGAGCCCGCAGCGGGTTCCTGGAGCCCTGGTTCCTTCGGGCCGGTCGCACTGCCCTCTTGTGTTCCGCTACGGTTGAGGTGAGCCTGAAACATTTAGCACCAAAATGTCAGATTTGATACTAAACGGGCTAAAACGCCCGGATTATTTCAATATTGTAAAACTGAAAAGCCACCGATTCATTTACTGACGTAGGAGTGTGTGCCTGAATCTGGCTGAAATCTTCCTCGGTAAGGACCACGGTGGAGTCCTGCAGCGTCGTGGGTGACACAGATTTGTAGAAGTTGCCGAAAGTCTCTTCATCGTCCAGGGTCATCACTTCCTTTTCTGCCTCCGTGGTCACCTCGATGGTGGAGGTTTTGCTTTTGCTCACCCCTGACACGCCATCAGGTCAAGAGTTATAAGAGTATTTGTTAACGAGGGCCTGCAATGTAGTTGTACTGTAATATCTGTGGAATAACAACACTAACTCTAATATGTAAAAACGACTCGGGTCGTACCTTTGTTGTGCAGTTTGTCCAGAAATGACTCGAGCTTGTCCAGCCTTTTATCTCCCTCGACTTTGACGTCGCTTCTGCTGGAGATTTCTGTCCAGTGACAACAAAAGCAAACGAGATAAAGTTTTACGGGCAAAATAAAAAAAAAAAAAAAAAAAAAAAAAAGGAATTGCCTTTGTGAAAAGTGACAGCACCTTCATGAGGCTTCACGGGTGTAGCAACAGACTTCTTGAGAGAGTTTAGAGGTGACTCTTTCTGCTCGTTGGAAACAAGACCTGGCAAAACAGAAGAACTGTTAGGCGTGGGCGAACTTTTTGACTCACGGACCACGATCGCGTTCGTGTGAACTGACATGTAAAAGTCATGCATAAAGGCTAAAATAAGTTGCTTTTATCGTTTTTGTACACATAAAGGCTAAAATGCTAAGTTGCTTTTATCGTTTTTCTACACCATCTATTGGGGAAACATAGGTATTGCAGGGAAAAGGCAAAACTATAATGACAATATAAATAAATTATATAATTAGGAAAAGTTCGGTGGGCCGGATTAAAAAACTGAACGGGCCGCATGTGGCCCCCAGGCCTTATTTTGCCCATTCAAGGATTAGATAGAACTGTATCAATCTCTGTGGAGTTCCCAAGAAAAAAATTACGTAAAAAAATATCAAAGACAAAACAAACTAGAATAACTGTGTTAAATGAGTAATCTGACATGGCATTGTTACGGTTTCGAATTTGAACCGGGAAAAGAACCAACCTCTCTTAGCCATGCGTCCAGCTACGGTGAACTGAACCGAGTCGTTGGCTGCTCCTTTGCCTTTGTTTTTCCACTGCTCCTCTTTCTCCTTCAGGATCTTCATCCTGTCCACTAAGGACATCTTGGGACCCAGGTCCACTCCGGACTTCTGTTACAAGAAAAACATGTTGCTTTGTTACTTTTTTCCCCCCCCCGATTAGCACAGTTTCATATTACACCAACAAATCTGACATATTTTTTGTATCTCTTACTAAATCCTTAAGTATAAGTATAATATTCTTTCACTGTGTACTCATTACAAGGAGGTACTCTGACTAAGTACCTCGGACGTTTAAACCATTCTTCAGCACGCTGGCTTGTTTCCAGCAGTTGGAGACGCTCCCAGTAAACACCTCACCCAAGGGATTTTTTATAGATGTTATTTTAAAGTAAAATAGATGCATAATGTTTCTTTAGTGGTTCAAAGAGCCCTATATACTAAATGGGATAAACATCAGTTCCCCTCAACACCCACACAAAAACTCAGCCGCCCAGAGGTCCCTTTTTGTCTGCTTTCCACTACAAACAATGGCAGTGGTTCAAGTGGTAACAGACTGTTTTGGATTCTAATGTCAAACACGTTGCCAATGTGGTCAAATATTAGCAAGACGTGAGAGCAAAGTTCAAAGACATGCATTTAATCACAGCGGGGGCGCGCAGACCGGGGACAACGCACTGGGTGGACACATCAAAGTGAGCCCTTGCTGATTTCATAATGGAGAATGAGACACCCAGATGTTCTGTGCATACCACGTCCTCAATGTAGTGTGTGAATTTGAGCCTGAAGGTTGTTAAAATATACTGCGCCTTAGACCATTATTCCTAAAACACTTTTAAAAAAAATTTATCTCGGGCTACGTGTGGAGTCGGGCGAAGATACAACCTATCAACAACATCCGTCACAGTCCGAAAGCATTTTCACACAGTCGCGGGCCCTACAGCGAGCAGCACATCTCTGGAGTCAATCAGAGAAGGGAAATACCTCTGCCTGACAGGACCCGAGAGACAAGGGGAAGGAAAGGAGGACAAGAAAAATGGGCCAGGGCCTCAAACCCTCACAGGAAACTATCCCCCCCCCCCCAACCCTGCTGTACAATATGGCACAAGCAGCGCCCTGGCCAAACCACTGACACAGATATCAACAAGCTGAAGGTCCCAAAACCACATTCTGGTATCGACAGCAAGACTGTTGAAAGCTCAGATTTGTCAATGTGTGAGAAATAGCGGGATGGCTTGAGAAATAAAGGATAAACGCCAGCTCTAGATTTTGAGGGCTTGGGGGGGTGAAGAATATTTCTAGGAAATTGTTGAAAAGCATCCTCTAGTGGCTCATTAGGCAACCACTTTAAAAAAGTGTGAGACATTGCACTTCAGTGAAGAAAAACAAAACCCTCTTTCTCCTACTGTAGATGACTTGATATGCTGATGATACCCTTTTTGTACATTATATTTAATCTCTTACATAGAACATGGAAATTGCCAATGGAAAAGACTTTTGTCAGGGCTATCATTACTTCATGAAGAGTCACACATTTGGCACAATGCAAAGTCGGAACACTCACCTGAGAGGACAGAGATAGGGCGACAGGTGTCAAAGTAAAAAAAGGGCAGAGCAGGAACCACAGGCGTGGATAACAGTAGCTTGAAACTGGAAGGAAAGGTCAGAAGAAAGAATATATGGAAGAGAAGAGGAAAGGAAACGTATCAGGAGAAAGACAAGGCAGGGTAACGTCAGACTTTAGCGGCCGGAGTCAGCAGGGGGGGTTTTCATGGTAGAGGACGTTTGAGTCGGGCATAAAGTTAGAGGGAAACCGACTGTGTGAAAGAGTTTGTAAAGAGAAATCAAAACAATATGAAGTGAACGGAATTCACATGTGGGGGAAAAAAAAAAAATCTGCTAACGTGATAAAGCTGTTTTATGGTTTAGTCCAGGGGTGGTAAACATACGGCCCGTGGGCCAAAACCAGCCCACTAGGGGTTTTAATCCAGCCCGTTTGATACATTTTAAAACTGAAAAAAATGCAGAAACACTTCATGATATTTGATCACATATGAATATTTTCTGATAAACTTGTACTTATTGGCCTGAAAACACAGGGGAAAAACATGGGCTTGTTGTTATTTATAGATAATAATGTTATGATTGTACTGGTCCGGCCCACTTGACATCTAATCAGGCTGTATGTGGCCCCTGAAACCAAAATGAGTTGGACAACCCGTGGTTTAGTCGATATCACGTGGGAAATGTCTCACAGTCTTGGTCAATATAAAAAAAAAGAGAATGTCGTCGTCGGCGCACAAATGTACCATAAGTGACTCATCGGTGATGCTTGTCGGAGTTTCATCCAACAAGCTTAAAGAGCCGGGGATAATAAATTCAGATTAAACTGATTATCCTTTCTCTGAGAATCAGCAGTCAGATCAGTGATTCCAGATGGGTACGGCGGTTTCTGTGTCGGAGCTACAGCGTCAGTGTTTCTTTTTGTGCTGATATGGCCAGTCTACAATGACTCATCGCTGGAAAGCGAGGCTAAGGCATTTATCAAATCCCCTGGGATTTAAATGAAAACCCAGGACTTGAAAATGTTATTGTACGTCTGTATGGATTTCCTTAAAAGACCCTTCCAAATGTATAACTCAATTTGATACCGAAACCTGATTTTTATATTAAACAAAGCAGCCTTTTTTTTTTTTTAATTAATGGGCCCAATAAATCATTAAGGACACGGCGGACCCTTTACATTCAACTCACAACATTGTCTCACTTTACAGCGAATGGCTGCACAGGAAACACCTGGAGCTGGTTGTGGATGACCATGGTGTGCAACAGGCATGTTATATTCCCAGGTCGCACACATATCAACAAAAGAGCACACGACATCTGCTCACGCTTGGCAGGCGATGAAATTGATCCACATGAGAATCCAAAAGTCCCCCATCAGAGATGTAAAAATAGTTACAAGCAAGCACTTGTCCAGTGGACAACCTAGACACCAGTGTTGGCAATTAAAGATATAAAACTTGGGCCCGTGGCCGAGTACCTGCAGCAGAGTCCAGCTCCAATCATGGAAGCTCGCTAATGATGAAAACACAGATTCCAGTGAAGGAAAATCAGAATTTAGCCAACTAACCAAGACCTAACTGTGAAATCTCTCCAGTCTGCAATATGTGAGATGGATTTGTGATCTATTCTTAGGGAGAATAACATTTGACCGATTTGAAAAACAACAACATGACTTTGGCTATTTTTCTCCTGCGATCATTTTTGTAGGTCTATCACAGCGGCCAATGTCAACAGCATATTGCAAACCAATTTATAGGTAATAATCTTCTAAAAATAGAGACTGCCAAAACGTCGTCATTGACTTTGATCTTTCACCATGTGTTCGGGACGCACTTCATGTACTTGCAATGGAAATACACCAGGTTTACAGACTGTGGATTTACTGCAATGACATCTGCCTGCTGTTAAAGTGGCTCTTTAAGTTTAGGTCTAAATTTAGCTCCTTTTCAGACAAAAGGTAAAGTCAAGGTAAAATCTCCCAAAGGGACTGTGGAATGAGACAGAAGTCAAGGCGACACATTTGAATAAAGTTTTATTTATTCATCTATCTATCTATCATCCATCCATCTATCTATCCATCTATCTATCCATCTGTCCATCCATCCATCTATCTATCCATCATCCATCCATCCATCCATCTATCCATCATCCATCC